TTTAAAATTTATCTTGTGAAAGTGCAACACAATTTCTGCCACTACCAAAGCGCAACAACCGACTAGATAGCTTGGTCGTGCGCAACTTTTGGCTTTGCTACGAAATTATATATGCGCCCGCGCTTTCTTTTAGCAAGGCGAGATTTACATTTTGCAATCGCAACTTTTCAAGTATTTTAACTTTTCGAAGCAGTTTGGCTGGAAGTTCTTTAAAATGTTGCTCCCTACGCTAAAGCACTAGGGTGCTGCAGAATGTGTCATATTCAGACTCCAGTTTGGTAGCCATCGCATTTTGGTATACCCAATGCGTTCGGCCAGAAATAGTAGCAGAAGCAGTGGACACGAAACTTAAATGCTGATGGCTGTAGTGAGTAATCTACAATATTAATTTGCCTCAGATCTCTTTTATTCTATGCAGTCTTTTATTACAATAATAAAAACTATAGAGTGAGATTGAGACTGCTTATACTGTATGCTTTTCTTTAGTTTTCATCTTCAGCCACTCATCACATATTATCACAGATATGTTGAACAACCCTCACAAACCAAAATTTGATTTGCCTTTACTATACTTACACAAAAAAGGTGTTTAATTAAAGTGTTGAAATCGCTAATTGCAATTTTATGGCCAAGTGCTAAAGCATTTGCATTCGCCGTCGCGAAATTAGATGCTGAAGATTTATCATTCTCTGCTTTGTAGTGCATACCTATAAAAAGTCACTAAGGCAGTTCTCTTAATTTGAATGCAATCAGATAAATGATATTGACTTTATATTAACATATAGTGGCGTAAATCGTATGGACAGAGAGACGAAATGCGGGTCAATTGAAAAGTGTAGAATCGAATATGACTATTGTTTTATATTTCGTAAAACGATAGTCCGATAACCGTGTTCTTTTTTCTTTTCGCCATGTTTGCATTCGAAAATTATGCTCTGTCGTTTGAGCGACTAAAATATTATTAATTTCAGAACATTCTTTTTCATTTCAAGTTTCTGAGTTGTGCTTTGCTTTCATCATATTGGACATATGTATGTATATGTGGATGTTGGCGCAGCTGTGTAAACCAAAGCGACCAACCGTTGCCAAAGTCAACTCGCCCTGTCCTTACGTTAATTGCAACGAATAGAGGTCTTTACCATGAGCTTTTACAGCGGGTCCGATATTTGCAAAGCCCCCAAAGAATTCTCAAGTGAGTTTTTGTTAATCTTCCAAAAAGTCACTAATTAACCGGCAACCTTCCAGCAACAAAAAAAAAAAAAAAAATTTCTTCGTTGCAACTCCTGAAAGCGAGCTAAGCAGTAACAGTGTATTGCACTGTGTACGTTCGCTGGCGCAAGTTCTCCCATGACGCCATGGAAAACCAAAAATCTGCTTGCCACAGGACGTGCTGCCATTTATCATTGCAATGCAGTACACGCGTATGTGAGTAACTGTATACAAGTACAGCAAGCAAATATAAGCTCTTACATGGCCATAGCTTAGCTCAAAGCCGAGCTGTCGAAATTTTCAAAATGTGCTCGCAAATGAGAGTGTGTGAGTGCAACAACGCACGGACGCCGCCTCGAATCAACTCCACAACGCATCGAGCACCCAGCGGTGGCGCAACTCAACCCAAATAGCGTTGCTTGTAATGAACGAGGCGTGTGGTCGCGTGACGGTGTTAATTCCAGGCGGGCCTTCATTCGCATATTTGTTGTTGCTTTTGTATTTCATGTCAGCATTCTTCGCTGTCATTTAGGCGCGCTGACTTGTAAAATGCGCTCCGATTGAGCGTGTTGCGTCAACGCTTTGTCTTTGTTGTCCCTTGATTGCTAAGCATAAGTATAACGGCATTCACATACACTCACTTGGCAATGTGGTGGTAATGCGCGCAGTGTGTCCTAGCGTTGGCTGTATGGCGGTCATTTGTTCAAATTCAAATTCATTAGCTGCATACATGTATGGCTGCATGTGTATTTGTGACGAAAGTTTAAAGGCTGAAAATACTGAATTGTGGCGCGCGTGTTCTTTGACTTGTTGACTCGCATTTGGCGACTTATTTGCGTAAATTTGCATTCAACGGACTAAGCCAGTTGTCCTTTGGCAAACCGGCGCTGCAAATTCGGCGACCACCGAACTTGCTGCCCCGCGCTCTCGTGCCCAAAGCAAACAAAGCGAGCTGTTGGTATGGTTGGTTGATGCGCGGCATGCATTTGCAATGCAGATGACGTCATGAATCGCACAATTAGGTTGCTAATTTGAGTTGAACTCGATCAAATGAGTGGTGTTGGAAATTTTGCGAGAGCTTAAAATGCTTTGGCAGCGTTGCATTTGGGAGTAATTGCAAATATTCAAACATGCCCAATTTACATATTCACTTATAGTAGACGGCTAAAAGCCTTTGGCTATTGCTGCTAATGCAACAACAAAGTAAAGTAAATTAGGCGAAATATCTGAACACAAACAACATTTTTATCAAATGCAAAAACAAAACCTGTAGAGAATATATACAACAATTTAACTGAAAATAATTGTAACCTTTTGGCTTTCACGGAACACCGCATCTTCACACTAACACATCGATATTAAGTAGCTCTTTACTTTACCCATACATTGAGAAATATATTAAAATATTTAATTTTTTTGGTGCTCTTTTCTTTCTTTTAACAGCCGGCTCATTAGTCTGTGCATTTTACAGTTAACTATATGGCGTTTCTAGGGCAATGGAAGAGCAACCGCGGTGAATATGTAGTTTCATCAAAGTAAAAATCTGGGCAACACACAATACTGCGCGAGCGTCAAGCGTATAAATGCAAACAGATTTTTTTTCCCGAATCAAGGCGAAGTTAAGACGACCGCTTTCTGATATTTATTGGCTCAAAAGAAAATGTGCTACATTTGCATACCGTTGCTGATACATTCTGTTCCATTATTGTAATTATAAATAAATTGTAGATCTCGTATGCACTTCTTCAAAATATGCCACGATTTCGAAATGACTTACTTTCTTTTGTTGTAACTGAACGGTACTCTTTTGTTCAAGCTTATGAAGCAGTAATTGCCCCTGTACATACCCGAGCAGGTCTCAATGTAGAATGGTCTGCTTTTCGATCAACTGAAACTAGCGCATGTCATTCCTTAAGGAATGTTTGTTAACGCTTTTGTTATCGTTTCCACAAATCAAGGTAAAAAATAATTATGTTTGTATATATGTATGTATATAAAGAATATGTATATATATACTTATTTTTATTGTTTGCTTTACAAATACCAAAAATAAGTAATAAATTGCAGACTACGCCTTAAAAGTTTTCGTTTGTCACAAATTGGTGGTTTGGTTGGTTGAAAGAAGAAGGTTAGTTACACCGCAAGCGTTCTCTGTGCTCCAAGCAACTATTAATTCCCTGAACAGGGTATATTATATTTTACCACGAAGTTTGTAACACCCAAAAGGAAACGTCCGAGACCCTATAAAATATATACATAAATGATCAGCATGGTGAGCTGAGTTGATTTAGCCATGTCCGTCTGTCTATCCGTCTGTCTGTCCGTTCGTCTGTATATACGCAAACTAGTCCTTCAGTTTTTGAGATATCGTTTTGAAATTTAGCATATAACCTTTTCTCACTAAGAAGCTGCTCATTTGTCGGAATGGCCGATATCGCACCAATATAGTATATAGCTGCCGTAAAAACTGAACAATCGGAAACAAGTTTATGTATGGAAAACGATTTTATTTGACATATTTGAGATATTTTCATGATATTTGGAACGAATTATTATCTAGAGCAATAATGGAATCTCCGAGGAAATTTACCAGATCGGATCACTATAGCGTATAGCTGTCATAAAAGCTGAATGTTCGGAATCAAGTATTTCTAAGAAACCTTTTGTATTTCTTGAGCGTATTATCGTTTCGGTGCAACCGAAGTTAACGTTATTTCTTGTTAGTGTCATTAGTTAATATTAATGCACCGAAAGAGTTGAGTTTCATGCTGAACGGTACTATCTAGAGAGTAGTCTGAATGTAGTTTTTTTTATAAGTACTTGCGTAATTTTATGCTGGGTCATATGCAAGAATGCGAATAGTTCAACGCATAAATATGTATTTTCATACATTGTGTTGTGCTTTTTCACAAAATTTATTTGATTTCGGGTTTTTGAAATTTATGTTTGTCAGAATTTCTCCTAATTGTTTTACTCTTTTTTGCACATTGTTCTTCCTCTTATGTTCTTGGTAAATTTAATAGAGAAGTTTGCCCTACGTTGACTCAATAAAACTAAATATTTCGCATAAAATCCGCTTAGGTGGTTTTCTCTTTTCATGCTAAATAGATTTTGTTTGTTGAGTTGATTGAGTTTTTAAAAATAGCATTGCATTCAAAAATAGAATTACTTCTATAAGTAAAGCGCTAAATGACGTCATTTCGTCTTCTTGAAACAAAGCGAATATCATGAAATCTCACACAGCAGTGATTATTAAATGATGACCCAAGTATTCCGTTATATCAGAGTTTCTATACACATAAGCTCATTACTACGGCAGTTGCATTGTGGCGATTCTCGAACTGAAGTTGCGTAGTTAAGATTGAATTTTCGAACCGTCGGTCTAAAGTCGACAAAAGAGTCACGTTATTGTCACGATTCCACTTGTTCAGCTTATAAAGACATCTTCTTATGTATATTGCCAATAAACATAAAACACAATAGCTTAATTTTATTGTATAATTCTCTACCAGACAAAGTCTCTCTAAATATAACAACACTTAGACACATACTTGTATATTATATATGCATACATTTTTTCTTCAGTGTCGTCTGAAGTGCAGAACTTGTGCAACTATCTCCACAGATTAACACTTGGAATTAAGTAGAAGACAAATAATAATTAGATATATATATAAGAGTGTTTACACTTTAGATTTGCTAAAAACACCAAATATTTCCATTGTTGCATGAGCATTATTTCCTGAACGAGCACTTAACGTGAGTGTACACAAAGGGGCCTGATTATGGACGGAAAATATTACGAATATGTTGCTACCTCCCATAATAAATACAAACACCTACAAGTATATAGTTTATACAACCTAAGATTTTGTTTACATCTATTTATAACAGTTTATCGCACCAATGTATAGCTAGCAATATAGCTATAGCAATGATGGGCGCATTAGTTCATGTTTTATCGCGAGACCTCGAACATTACAATGAGCGAAAGTAGCAGCGTACAGATCGTTTCGATAACCACCACGGAATGGACGGCGCTGCGCGATGTATACCGAAAAGACTGGCCGAAGAATTCGTACAGCTACTATGCTCTGGAAAATTATATACGGTGGTCACGCAGAGACCCCGAACTGTGCAAGCGGGAAGTTAGTATTTGGAGTATAGACAATAATTGGCGGATACATGGCATTTATATATTAGAGGTAAACGATTCAAGTGTGTTCTAAGTGACTTGCAATATCAGTCCTATTTTATTAATAAACACAGGATAGAATTAATCACAGTCACATGATCCGAGCAGATATCTGTTCCACCGAGCACATAACACTTTTCCAGCAGGCATTAAGTCGCACGAACTTTAAGACATCTACTGAGTTTATATTTCGTGAGAAAACCTGCTCCTTTGTAAAGAGGCATCTCGAAGATTTTGGCTACAAAATTAATCTAAAGGCATGCTATCCAGCAAAGTTCTATCTACTAAGTAAAGCCGACTGCCGCAAACTGGAAGTTAGGTGAGATAGAAAGCTGTGTTTGGCTCGCTCGCTAATGGAATTTGTTTTTAGACCACGCACGGACTTCATTATTAAACCACTCACATTGAATGACGTTAAAGAAGTTGATGACTTCTGGCCTTATAAGTCGGCCGGTTCTCCTTACATTATAAGTAGAAATATCAAGTACAATATCTCCTTAGGCGCCTATCATCCCGAGAGCGGTGAATTGTGCGCTTGGGTATTACAGTAAGTACACCTTATCAAATTAAGTAGAAAATAAGGCATTTACAAGTTTTTATTATTTTTTTTTTTATTATAATTTATTTCTTTACTGAAAACTTGTAGCAGCGAATTGGGCACCTTTGGGCTTTTATATGTCAAAAGCAATTACAGACGCCGCAGGCTGGCCGAGGATTTGGTGATTCGAATTTGTCTAAAGTTGGCCGAGCAGGATTGTGATGCCAGTGCACATATCGTGGATACGAATGAACCATCTACTAAGCTCTTTACAAAGTTAGGGTTCCAGCCCATTGAATACAATTATTGGTTTATAAGAGGAGACTACGAAATTGCTCCAAAGGCAAGCGTCGCACCTACGGCGGGCCTATGTGGTCAAACTATAAAGCATGGTTAAGAATATACATATATATATTATATATAAACCCATTAGCTTCTAGCTTAAATATTTCAAATTTCTTAATACTTAATTTAAAAATTAAAAAAAAATCAATAAGTACTCAATTCTGTTCATACATATAATATTAGTATAGATGTAATGATATATATCTTTCACTATTGAAAATCAAAATATTTATATTCTGAAAAGAGATGCTATTTTATTTTATTATTTACTCTCCGAAACCTAACGCAATCACATAAGTACACTACTGTCTTTCTTTCTCATATTTCTTAACTAAGACTCAAGCAAGTTCTCTCCGTCTAAGCCGCTTATTCTTGATGCAAAATAAAATAAAACAGTTTGGCTTTGGCTTCCCGAAGCGATGCGCTGGAAGACAAACTCATGTAGAAGCACGCACCTAGGTATACATACATACATATATGTTTTCTCCGATCACTTTGTACAACTGCATCTGCACATACACTTGCACACATTTGTAGTCGCATTACTCTTCGTTTCCATAACTTTTCTTTGCAAAGGAAACAACTGAAATCGATTTAAATGCGATTTAAACTAAAGTAAGCAACCAAGTATGTAAGTTCATTGCTGGAAACAAAGTATTCTGTAAAAACGATAGAAGGCGAACTCTAGTAGTTCAAAGTGTTGGCAGTTTGTAGATATTTCAAGTTGCAGACAAGCTTAATGTAAGCTGAAATGTTTTGTATTGATTTTATTTGAATTTCTCTACTCAATTTCATACAGCTACTTGTTTGTGCTGTTACACTTCACTTCAGAGATCCGCCTTTATAAACCAATAGTCGCACTCAATAGCTTCAAACCCCAGCCGCTTAAACAGTTTCAACGATGGCGTATTTTCATCCACTATATGAGCTGTGGCATCACGTCCTTGCTTGGCCAATGCGTGGCACATGTGGATCACCAAATACTCAGCCAGACCTTGTCGCCGGTAATCATCTTTCACATACAAAAAGCCCATAACACTCAACTCATTTCTGATTTGGGTAAATACAGAGAAATATAAAGCGTTTGCTTATCACAGTTATACAAATAGATATAGATATAGATAGACAGGCTTACTGCAAGAACCAAGCGCACAGCTCGCCAGTATCGCGTTGATAAGCGCCAAAGGAGAGGTTGTATTTGATGTTACGCCCAATAATATAGCCATAACCCTTCCTTTTGTAGTGCCAAACGCTTTCGACTGCCTCGACGTCTGCCAGTGTTAAAGGCTTTAAGATGAAGTCCGTGCGTTCTCTAGAAATCAATGTAAAACATGATACCCATGTAATGTTATAGAAATGATTTACCTTATCTGTAGTTTGAGGCTGCTTTCTTTACTCAATTGATATAACTGTGCTGGATAGCAATGGTTTTTCAATGGATAGCCTTGCTCTTGCAGAAATTGTTCGATGATTTTGGCAGTTTTTTCGCGAAAAACAATCTCATCACAAGATACTAAGTCCAGATAACTTAAGGCTGATTGGAAAAGTTCGTTGTGCTCATTGGAGTAAGTATCTACTCGAATAATATACACGTAAGCCGTCCGATCCTGTGAATATTTTTTGGTTTTATATTTTATAATTCCAATTGACAACATTTTCACTTGAATTGCTCACGTTCAATATGTAAATGCCATGCTCTCGCCAGTTATTATCAATACTCCAAATGCGTACTTCTCGTTTGCATAGTTCTGGGTCTTTACGTGATAACTGAATAAAGTTTTCTAGGACGTTGAAGCTAAATGCATTTTTCGGCCAGTCTTGTCTGTATACATCGCGCAATTCTGCCCATTCCGCGGTGGGTATCAAAACAGTATGTTCTTTGTTGTTTAGGCTCATCGTTCTGTCGGAGATCTAACTCTACTTGTTCATCTAACGATTTCGTCTTTAGTTATACGAGTAAATTTCAGTTATCACTGTTGTCATCTTATTTATCACTTCATATCACTCACGACTATTATGCGATTTATCTACACTCAAACAGAGTGATGCACTTAAGATTATCTTTTCAAAACATATTCTTGCATGTGTGTATGCGATGGACATACGAAAGAGAAGGTTCTCTTATCCATCTCATACACATTATCTATAGTAGGTATATTCATTACAAAAACGTTTACCCACGAACGCTTGAACAATTGCATTATAAAGAAGTGTCTTTTGAGTAACTGGAAAAGAGTTCGCCACACTAAAGGATTTCACCAAAAAGTCTCAATTATTTTGAAAGCAATGAAAAAGTTTAATTTGTTTATTGCATCGACCGGGAATCGAACCCGGGCCGTCCGCGTGGGAGGCGAACATTCTACCATTGAACCACCGATGCACATAAATTAATTAGTTCTTTAAAATTCTAAAATTTTGTTTATTTCATAAACTTTTTGAAAATTATTCGAGTTACATGCATTTCCACGAGTCAGTAAGCTAATAAGCTACTGGAGAATATTACTATCTCACCAATGATATTTACTATGCTTTTCCGCATTTTTCACAGTGTAGCATTGTATTTCGTTATGAAATAATATTTTATATAAACGTTTTTTAAATAAAAAGGTATTTATTGCATCGGCCGGGAATCGAACCCGGGCCGCCCGCGTGGCAGGCGAGCATTCTACCACTGAACCACCGATGCTTTGATTCGATCACGTCCAACTTCTCACTTCCGACATCGTTGCTAGTTACTTGGACTTAAATGTCGATCAACATCTAAAGCTCCAAACGCCTCCAAACGAGATTTAGTGCGAGTAACAGCAGATTAACAGCGTGATATCATGTAAAGCTAATAGAGAGATTTACTGTTATGAAATTACAAGCAACATTACTCTTGTGTTTTGAGAGGATGTTAAGGTTTACTATCAACCCACTAAAAGCAATAAATAATGCAAAAACTTTATTGAGGTGTATCATATATAGACTTAATAAATAAATAATTCGTAAACACATAGAACAACGTTTGTCAAATTTTAGAAAGCTTATTCAACTATGTTTCATTTGAAACGTGACGCAGGTCGTACCATATTGACTTAGTTGAATTGCAGGTGGAAAAGACAGAAACGTGAAGTTATTGATCAACATGAGTTGACCCCATTTTGGTGGAGGACCAACTGGGGTAACTTTCATTTGGAGGTTGAAGCACCGTAAGCATCGGTGGTTCAGTGGTAGAATGCTCGCCTGCCACGCGGGCGGCCCGGGTTCGATTCCCGGCCGATGCAATTAAACTTTTATTTTTACACACAACTATTATTAGTCCATACACCCAAACGGATTTAGGAAGCTAGTAATGCATTAATATCAATCAGAGAATGTTAATAAATGTATAACATTTATCTGCTTCAATACCTAAGGTTATATGAGTGCTGGAAGAGTGATCGTATTCCGGAGAATATTTATAACTGTAAACATGAGCTTTTGTTGGCGGCCGCAGGTAAGTGTGTGACTATTTTACGGTGGATTATGAATACAAAAGCCGGTTAAAACTGGGTGGCAATTTCAAGGTTTTGAATTTCACGATTTGTTCGAAAACGATCAAGCTTATACTCATACATGACTACTAGACACATAAATACAACAGCGAGCGTTTGATTACTCAGTATAAGCGCTTGATTAAAATTTGTTATCTCTCTCTCTTTTACTACATTCTCTTTTTAGTATAGACTATGAAAGCATAGGTTACTCTTAACTGCTAATACTACTGCAATAAAGTATAGAATAGATTCCCGCATGCACTTATCAAAGTTAAGAAATTGAGTGGAAAGCTTATTTTGTGCTGGCTTAATAAGATTATATCAAATAACAGTCACTAAGAGCATATTCCTAGCAGTATTGTCGAAGCCGATGTGCGAAGTTAGAGCAAGCCCAAGCAAAACTGCTGAAAAAACAGTTTTCGCATTGTGTTGTAGCCTCTTGGGAAAATTTTTATAAGAGCCTTACACTCTTACTTAGGATGAGCATAGAGCTTTTTGCAGAGAATGAGGTTAAACCAGCGATTCTCAAGCTTGTATGTGGATTTTTTTGCAATCTTATACTACACTTTTATACTTATCTTATATATACTAAAAAAGTTAATATGCAATGTAATATGTGCAAATATTTACTCATGCTAAAAGCACTTATAACTTATATATGAATGTAAGTATTTCCGTTACTAGGCGCTTGAGTATTTAATATAGACAATGCAATATGTTATCAATTATAAAATCTTATATTTTCGATTGAAATCATTCATCATTCATGCGTTTGCCAATTGGAACATGATCGTTGAAGCTATCAGGTGCCTTTACCTTAGGATCGATAAAGCCAGCCGTTTTCCAATATACCACACGAAAAAACTTATACGATTAAGTAATATATAGTATCTAAATTACCAATACTACAGGCAATCAATGAAGCACTAGAGAATGATATATCCGGTGGAGCTATTTTAGTGCTCCTTATATAATCGTACATTGATCGCGGGCTATTTTCACCAATTATTGTGTTCTTATTTGTTATTTTTTTTTTTTTGGGTATATAATATTTACCCTCCATTACCACTGAGTACCATATTAAAATATATTTTTAAATAAAATATAATGTTATTTATGAAGCAGCCTTTAATTTGAAATTTAAATGCATTTTCGCAACTTTCGATTCCACAAATCATTAAAGCGCCTGCATAGCTTTAAGCACACTGTCAAACTGCAGTTGTTTTGGTGGGTTTTCCAGCAACAAATAATGACCAGACCGAGAAATAGCATTACAAATCTAAATAAATACCAGTTGAATGAGCCGAACTCACAAATACAAATATAAGTTATATATGGGCAGAGTAAAGCGAAGACCGCGACTATTCCTTGTCAGTGGGAAAATAAGATAGCTGAATGCAAGCGCGCCAAAAAGCAGCATCGTCGCAACTTCATTTGTGGCAACTAGTTGTGTAAAAGTCGAGAAATCAAAGAAAACAACCCAATAAACGTCTGTGGCAAAACTGCCGAAGGCGAACGCAGAAAGAGCAACAGCTGAGGTAGAAATTGTGCAGTGAGGCTAAAGAACGCCGACGAAGGCAGCATGGCAAGAGCGTTACGCAAAGAAGTTGCACATGCAAATGAAAGCGAGCACATCCGCAGCTGCTGTATTGCCTTTCACTTCCGACGGAAGTCTTTGCCGGAAACGAACTGTGCGACCGGATTTCTTCACAGACATTGTTGTCATTTTCTGCTCGCACTTTACATATCTTGTGTACAGAAGAGAGCTAATTCGGTTTCTGCTTAGACAGCGAAGTATGAACTATATGAATTTTGACAATAATTGTGGTATTTATGTTGAATTTGGCAGGCGCAAGTCAGCGTTTCGTAGAACTGAGTAATTACACTTATATGTATGTATATACAAATATACGACCCAACTGTTTAAATGCACAAATTTGTAATAATATATCTAAACTCAGTTCTAATAACCGAATATACGAAAATGAGCGTTAAATTTAATTGAATTTAATAGAGTAGAAGTTATAGACATAATAATGCATTAAAAATCATTCTTAAATTATTATGAAAATATTACTTGCTAAAAACTTCCATTACCACTAGTAGCAACGCACATTAATATGTTTCGCAACGTTTTTCAGCAACGCCTTTTACAGCTGGAGCACCGCAGCGTATACGCGATCCACCCACCGAATTACCACGGGCATTTCCTTGAACGATTTTTATTGCTGCATTAGCGTGATACTTTAAGCAGCAAGACGCCCCAAAGTGACAGCTGCTGCTATCGCTGAGCTAATGCTGCATGCCACAACTGCATGCTGCGACACATGTAGCATAGCAGCACACACGCATGTCTATTTATGGCTATGATACGAACTCAACCGCACGGTTAGTGGCACTCCTTTTCATGATGGCCATGACGACGCTGATTATGGCGCCGATAATGTTACTAATATTTTTATAGAAATATAAAAAAAAGTGCGCGAATAATGCAACCTACAAGCAAGCAGATGGCTGCAGACGTGCATACGTGCCGCATAAGAGCATGTGGTTGTGTGTGTGTGTGTGTGCCCAATGCACTACGCGCTCGACTGCACTCAACACGACAGAAACATTTTGTTGCATCATTCGCATCGTCAACCGTTAATGGCATTGTTGACAACACCATTGTCACCTCGGTAATTTCTTAGTTGCGCCACAGTGTTTGCGCTCAGTGTTTACTCTCCTTTCGGTATTTTGCAATTTCATGCCAGCGTGCGTTTTTACGTGCCACCAATCCCTTTGCAACGCGCTTCGCCATCAAACACATTCAATTGTTGAAAATATTGTTGATAATGTTGCAAAATAATAGTTTCGAGCAGAAAAAGCTGTAATTAGGTGAAAAACAACAAAGTAGAAAATGTGAAACAGACGTTCATTTATGGTGAATTGATTCATGAAAATAAGTAATAAAAGCGTCATGGACAGCGGAAGTAAGAAAAGACGCAAGTTACATGCTCAAAAAGCCATTTCTTCAGTTTTTCTTTTACTGCTAATCAAGTTTTCATAGCTGACATCCTTCTGCATAACGACAAAATAAAGCATTTTATTCACTTCTCGGTAGTCAAGAATTGTTGATGCCAACTGTGTTTTCTTGTTATTACACTTTTTTTCATTTATTTGGTCACAATTATGTTTTTGACGCGAAATATTACCTTTAAAATTACTTTAAAGTGAGCGCAACGCGATCAAATTGCTAAAGCTTCAGGAAAGCGTCCAATTCACTAAAATTTACCGCTTTCCTTAGATTTCAATGAAGACTTCGAATTTTTTGTTGGCTTTTAAAAGTTAAGTTTTTTTTCAGTCTCTGAATTATTCTTTATTTATTTATTTAAAAATATAGATTGCTATAATAATGTCAGTTTTGCAAAAATAGTATTAATTTTTTAGATTATCGACCGTCGAATACTGGTCTAAGAGCCTGAAAAAGTTGTCTACGTACAAATTTTATATTGCGTGTAATAAAGCAGTGATAAGTTGGTACCAGAAGGAGATTTGACCTAAATATATATTGCAGCAATAAAGTTATGCTCTCAACATTATTTTTTGGGTTCTGATTTGCACTGTCTCCAATCTTAATTAAGTCCAAAGAATAACAAACATTACTCTTTCTTCTCTTACGCAGCTTTCGAGAGTAGTTGTGTGGTCGCTGAGCATACAAGTATTTCTCTTCCTTATTTCACACATGGCTGCAGCGGATATTTTCTGCTGTGTGAACAAAGAATATCATATGCAATTAAGCATAATAAAGCTCCGCGTCACAACACACTGACTGTTGCAGTTACTAAGCAAATGTCAGTATTCTAGCTCATTGCAACGAGGTGAGTGTGTTCACAGCTCTTCATAGCATTTAACGCAAAAAAAAAGGTTGCAAAGCTGCTACGAAAGCGAACAGCTTTCTATACGTCCACTATTGTTGTATTTATGTGTGTTTGTACATTCGCAATAAGTGATTGGCTGAGAGTCTCCGGTGAATATACCTATGTGCCATCAGTCTCTTTTTGTCAGCGCGAGCGGATGCTAGAGTGACTAAACAGTGATCACATTCGCTTAGTCAGTGTTGTTACATATGTGTGTATGCACTTACAATATTAGTATTGCGAGGAAAGAGGATTTGGCAAATTAGTTGAAAAATTTACGAGATTACCGGCATATGTGATAGTGGAAATAAAATATATTTTTTTATTGAACTCTCATATATATATCTCAGAGCGAAAATTGGTGTCAACTTGAGAACCCTTTGCAAGCCTAACTTCAATTTCCAATCGCTATCGACTGCAAATGTGCGCTCGCGCGGAATACTCGAATTTCGCAAGAAACCAATGCATTGCGACAATTCCAACAATTCCACCGTGAAGTCCACCCAGCAGCATCAAATGCTAGCAGCCATTTGAATTCGCATCGACCAAATGGCTTTTCTTAATTGCTTTTCGATTTGATCTCCATGCCGGTCGGTCGTTACCGCGTTTAGGTTTCGCATTTCCCATTCACTTTAATTCAAGTTTTGTACTTTTGCTTTACTTTCCTAGCCGATAGCAACAAAATTTCAGCACATCAACAAATATATACGTGTATGTGAATTGACTGACGTTCGGCAGTTTGGCGCGTAAACTAACAACAACTAAGCAACTAACTGGAACATTCATTTGAATAGCAGCAGCAACGAGTGCTACCTCAAAAGCTGTCATCTATAGACTATAAAGCCTAGCATCATCATCACCAGCAGCTGCACCACTAGCCACTATGCTAGCAACAACTGCTGCCAGCTCCTCTGACGTGTCGTCATCGGGCAATTCGCAACTCACAGCCATCAGCAAAATCAGCGAACTGCATCAATTGCGTGATTTATACCGTCGTGATTGGCCTGCCCACTGTGTGGGCTACTATTGTCTGAGCAATTTCATTGACTGGGTGGAAAAGCGCCAGCGACTGAGCACAGTGGCGGATATGAAAAATCTACAGATTTTCACACTGAACAACGATTGGCATAGCGATGGACTCTTTTTGGTTGTGGTGAGTAATTGAGTAGTACAACAAACCAGCACATGTACATGGTGGTGCAATCATTTGCATACATACAGACATACTCGCACACCTAAGTAGAAAATAGGCAGTCATAACGAGAAGATCGAGGTAACTTGAAGAATTTGCGAAATTAAATTATGTGTTCAATATTTCTAAACATTTTAGAAAATTAACAAGAATTTATGTTTGACTTAAAATATAAAATTTCCGAATAAAAAGTTTAAGCAGTTTTTTTAAATTTTATATATTGTCTTAAAATAGAGAGATACTATACGATGGTATAAACTTTTTCATCCATCGCAGGATCGTTATCAGTTATTTGTCAATTCACTGCTGGCCAGCGAAGAAAGCGAGCGCTTGACCACAGCTATAGCTTTGCTCAATTGGCATTGGCCGGGCTTTAAAGTGAGCTCCTTCCGAGAGCGCCATCGCGCGTCGCTGCTGAGTGTCGTGCGCGAGAAGCAGTTAAACATTGAGTACGACAGTTTAACCGTTATGTACTACCAGCCCCGGGAGAAAGTGCTGCAGCTACCGATAAGGTATGTACGAAGATTATTATGTTTTGAAACTTAATGTGGATTTATGCATGTAATTGCAGCTGCCCCGATGACTATAGGCTACGCCCTTTAAACGCCGCAACAGATGCTGACTTAATCGACACACTATGGCCAAATCATCATCAGGGTTCACGCTTCCTGATTAAACGGCTAATCGAATGGAACGCGAATATGGGCGTTTATACCGCAGATAGCGGCGAGTTGGTCGCGTGGTGCCTGCGGTAAGTCTACATTAATACCAACGCTTAGAAGTTAGAGTTCTAACAGCTGAAATTTTTCTCAATTAGTCTTCAGGGTGGCTTCCTGGGCGCCTTGCAGGTGAAGGAAAATCACAAACGCCGCGGTTTAGGTACCCTGGTTACTGCGGCTATAGCGCGTTATATAGCCGAGCAGGGCGACGATGTAATGGCGCTAGTGGACAAGGATAATCGTGCCTCACGCGGCATTTTCGACAAGCTGGGATTCAAGGTGGTCGATAACTGCTATTGGCTGCGCACATTTCCCACAATCGATGTCGAACGCACGTGGCCAGTTGGCGAGTAAGGGGTCTTTTATCCACTTTTACAAGTGTTCACACATATTGTATATATGTATGAACCAACAGGTATACTTAAATAAAGTTGAAAATTAATTATTAGTGCGACGGCTGGCTTCAAATTGAAAATAATCTGGTGGGATTTTAACTATGTTTGACCAAGAATCTCCTGACGTCATTCGAAAACCAGAGAGACTAAGGTTTTTTATATTGCTAACACATATATTATTATACAAAACATTCTTGTAAATTAAAATATATATAAATTGAGAATAAAGTTTTTCTGCTAAACGTCACCTCGTTTATCAAGTACCACAAGCGTGTATATGCGCATCTAAGCTCCACAAATATTCACCCTTTTCACTAACTGTAATACGAATAAATAAAAATTGCAAAAATTGATAACTCTGTGAAAGCTCTACATGCGCTCTCCCAATCGAACAATTATAAGCGCGACACACTGTACGGTTTCATCTAACGGCATGAACCTGATAAGCAGCTACAACGAGCGCGGGTCTACAGGAGAGTGAGAAATCAGATCGTTTCAACTATCACAAAAGTGGCTGACACATTAATTCTACATTGATTGTGTAGGATTGCTGCCAGCTCTTTGCGAAAATACTGACAGTAAAAGATGCGCAATCGTTGCTGCTCTTGAATAGCTGTGTGGGTGAAGAACCTTTAAAACCACCGCCATACCGGATAACGGATGTATACGTTTGTAATACCCTACGCGGAGTACTAAACGAGCTGCAGCTGACGTGTGTGGGCATAGGATTCAATAACTACCAACTGCAGCGGGAAAAGGCCTTGAATGTAAAACATTAGGAGCTTTAAATGCATGTTTCAAGCGTGTGTATTTTCTTATTAACATTTTCAATTGCAACTACTCGTACGCAAAGCTCCCTTCTGGCTTCAAAATGTGCTGCCTAAACATTGCCGAAGCAAAGATAATCAACTAGTTGTGGCTTGCCAATAATGCCGAAAGTTTGGAGATTATAAAAAGGCTTATCATCTGCAGGCGCAACAATAACAATATTGGTTAATATACGTAATATTCGGGTAAATTGGTAGCTTGCTGCACTAGGTTAGTTTCAGGCTTTTTTTATTGAGCTTTAAAATTTAACTATCAAAACTATAGGCAAATACCAAAGTGACTTTCTCGGAATGTTGCATGTGAAGCATGCTTGCAGGCGCTTCAACTTAGCCTCGTTGCTTTGTCTTGGCATGCTACAGAAAGTCTCCGCGAACGGCGTTGAAGTGCGTGCAACGATCGACGCAAGTAATGAGGCATCACAGCAGTTTTATAAGAAATTGTGCTCTCAACTGTCACGCGTTGCATTTTTTGCATTTTTTCTTTACAAATGCACATAGGTATGTACTTGTAATCTCACATTTTACTTTAACCATATTATCTGGTCGCAGAAGAAGAGGAAGAGAGAGGTCTCTTTTTTGTTTTTGAAAGGAGAGTGTACTATAGTTTAACAGTGCACTATAGCTATTGAGAGAAAGTAACATTTTTCACTCTTACTTACAACTGCAGGCAATTATTACTCTTAATTTCAATGAATTTGTAAACGAAGGAGTGGAGGAGATTTAACTGTGATCGTAGCTCTCTATTACAACTTATATTCACTTAATGATAACATATTGATTATTACATGTGACCTTGTAGTGAGAAACCGGAATAAAATGTTTGAGAAGCTTAGTACAACACTCACGATCACTAACGGCATTCAGTAACAATCGAAATCAACAAGAGTACTGTAAGAATTGTGTGTTCTATAGCGCATAACCGCCGCAATGACAAATCTATTAATAACTTTAAACAATATCGACGATTTGAGATTGATACGTGAGCTGTATAAATCATGTGGCATAACTCAATTGATTGGTTATCAGACGCTTAGTAACTACATCAACTGGTTCGACAGAGACCCACAACAAAAACATATTCAAATTTACACATTGCCAGATGTTTGGAGAAAGAGCGGACTCTATTTAATATTGGTGAGTGCGTGAGGGTTTGAAAGCATAGCTATAAAAGAAGCAAACAAGCAAAGCATTTAAATAAAAACCTAAAACTGGTTAAAAAATAATATTAATATTTGTCCAGGATCGTTATCAATTGATGGTAAATGCCTTAGATACTGTCGAAGCTGCCACTGAATTAAGAACCGCCTTAGTACAACTTGACTGGAGTCGTGGATATAAAATGACGGGCGTGCCGGACATACATCACGACACTATTTTCAAAATATTAACAGACTTGAACTTGCACATCGACATAGTGCGTCTACAAATAATGCTTATGCCCAGAGCAGAGGCTTTAGAATTAGAAGTGGGGTAAGTGAGGTATGAAGCTCAATTTAATTGGCAGCCCTTAATCGGATATAAATGCGGGTTCGTTACGATTTCGTAGACCCAGCAATCTTAGCAACGGTTTCCTTATGCTTCACTTCATTCCGGTCGCTAACTGATAGCTTTGATAACATTTCCAGCATCTCAACGGAGTATGAATTCCGTCCGCTAGCACCAGATGCAGCTGTTATTGTAGATAATATTTGGTATTCACGAGCAAAAGGTAGTTTAGAGTTCATCAAGCGACTTATTAAGTACAACTATAATATTGGAATTTATTTGAAATCAAGTGGTGAATTGATAGGCTGGTGCATAAGGTAAGCTGACACTCAGCTCAGCTACATATCTAAACGCATTTTACTATATATTGTATATATATTTTCTATTGTCTAAACAGATGCAATTTGGGACTGCTCGGCATGCTACACGTCAAGGATGCTCACCGAGGGCATGGACTGGCCGGCGCAATGGTGCAACTTTTGTCACGGCAGTTTGCTCAGGCCGGCGACGATGCCTCCACTATGATAAGTTATGGCAATTCAGCTTCCATTTCACTATTCACGAAACTGAATTTCAAAACTGTCGGCACCACATACATTTTTAGAACAAAACGCAACGAAAATAGCGAGATATGGTCCGACGAGCTAGAGGCAAAGGAGCAATAAAATAATTTAAAAAAAAGACAACAAATTAGATAAATTTACTTGTATTTATTTATCTTTTACGAGCTGTCACTTACAAACTACCGTTTTTAGAACAAATAGTTGTGCATAATAAATAAATTTACTTTTACATATATTGTTTATATGGCACTTAAGTGCTTTGTGCGGATAAGATAGTAACGGCATTAGAATTGTGCCTTGAAGTTAAATTAAATATCGTTTTTGGCATTATCGCTTTGGTTTCAATTTGTGCATCGGTGGCACTTGGCTTCATTGCAGAAGTGCTCTCAAACCGGCGTTGAGTTGCGTCGTAGTTCGTGGTCGTGCGATGCTGTCGCACGCGCTACTTCCGTTTGCTTTGTAATCTATAAAAGTTTTAAGGCGAATTTAAATGCAAAATATGCAAGAAGAGAGAATTTATATTTTAAGTTACTCTACAAAGGTTCTCGCATTTGGTCGGCATGCATATATGTAGTAGTCGTTTTAGTGAGAAAATATTGCATGCAAAAGATAATTTGAGAAATAGCACATTTAATCTAAAAACATAGGACGGTAATGCAGACTATATTATATTTAATATGCATTTAGCTTAAATTTTAATTGCATATGTGTTGTTGATACTCAAACTAATAGAAATGAAAAATAATGTTTAGTATTTTTAAAAGGATTCATTACAGGCATTGTATTGCATGCAATTTTAGAAGCTTTAAACAACAAACAAACTTTATTTTACTTATCTTCTCTACTATATTTGTACAATAAGTTATTGTTGTTGCACTAGAATAATTTAATTAAAATATGAATAACTGTTTAATATTAATTTACATTAATCAACCCAAACAACAAAAACTTCACACATACTATTTCCATTTAATGCATTAAACGCGCACTTCAATGCAAATCTAAAAGGGAGTTTATTATTTATGAGCATAATTAAATTTCCATTTCGGCATTACGGAAGCATGCAGCTATTAGTGTTTGCAGCAATTATAGCGCTGCGTATTTAATAAAAAGCGAAAAAATAAATAAAAATACCGCTTTGACAGCACAAATATACAGATGTATGTATATGTGCAACGTAGAAAGCACAAACAAATAATAATTCTGTTTAAATAGTGCAATACTTCACGTTATACCAACGGCCGTATTTTGGCAAAAGAAATCTGATTCGTAAGCAAACAGTATTGGTAGAAATTACTACGAAATATTTGTGTTCTTTGCATACTTAAACAGAAATATTTTTGTGACTACGATTATTGTGTTTGAACAGCAACAATCTGTGCATATAAAATTATTTGAATTATTTGAAAAGAAAGCCATAATATATAAACACACACATATATTGAGTTGTACAATTAAAAAGAACCGCATGTCGTGTGACGATACATACAAACATACACACATACATTTAATTATATAAATAAGACTTTTTAAAATTGTATCTAACGCCAAGAAACACAATAATAAAATGAGCTCAATGAAGATCTTTATTTTTGCTTCATTGAGTTTAAATATTATTTGATAGATTTGTGTAGTGTAATTGCATATGTGTAGTTATGTAATTCTATAATGACTAGCAAAATATGAAGTGTATCAAATTGCAATCACTATTTTGCCAAAAAAATTTTATTTTTTTGTTTTTTTCAATTTTAGTAGAAAACACATGTATGTATGTTTGTGCTTTCCAAAAATTTATACCAACTTCATTTATTTTCTAATTTATTTTAACTACACCTTCAATATGCTAGCTTATGTTCTAGTTAATAGTCGTTGTTGTTTTATTGTTAGTACAGCCAAGTATTAATTATACTGTAATATTCCCACTAATATTATGCGTTAGTGCTTATGAGACTTACTAAAAATAGAATTAACCATCTTTCACTTATAAATATATTGACTAATACATTTATTTACATATATATATAATTTGCATACTTTTCGTCGCAGAAAATGCTTGAGAAGTCAAAAATGTTGAATAAATCTTATAAATATATACTTAATTTTTAATATCGCTCTCAAAAACTGCAACAATAACGATCGCAGTAACGATAAAGTTATACTCGTGCATCAATACCTTGATTCTGCAACTAAATTACGTATATTTAAATCTGCTAGAACTTCGGCATTTTATTTCAGTTTTGTGTATATAAGTATGTATGTACGTTTGGTACATAATTCTGTTTATATATATATACGTACATATATAGCTGGAACTTAAGACAACACTCAAATGTTCCTCAATTTTCGTGCTTAGTAATAAATGGAGATCTTAAACTGTATTATATAAGACAAGGGGTATAAATTCGTGACGTTAAAACCAATTGTATCATTTTATATAATAGGTTATGATGTTAATTACTCGAGTTATGACAGATTGTTTTGAATTGGCCCGTTTTTGTTATTAACTGAACGTTTACTCAATAATGACTCGGTTAATTGTGTTGATATATGAGAGTTGTTTACCGCTGGCAAGTTCTTTGGTACGTTATTTGTTATTGTTTGTTGCATATAGGGAGAGTCTCTTACTTTGAAGCAACGGATGTTGAAGTGGTCGCACATCTCGCAAACCTGAAAAAGAAATTTAAATGCAGACTTATTAAACATTAAACAACATACGATTTCTTAAGTAGAAAAAATTTTCAAATTTTCTGAAAACAATTTTATTCATGAAAAATTTTACTATAAATTAAAGAGTAGTGTCACATTTAAGTCACCCTTTTTCTTAAATTTTTAGTCGTTTGTATGTACTTACCACTCCTTTTCCGTAATGCAGGTGTGCGACGGTGACGAAAATCGTTAAAGCTTGCAGGATCCAGCATTCCATGTCGGCGCTAATTTCGCAGCCCAGCCACTGCTCATACCAGGGAAAACAGGAGACCGCCACTGTGGCCAAGAGTGGCCAAAAGAGCAAATTGAAGCCGTCACAGCGCACATCGGACATTTGCGCCACTATCAAACGACACTGTTTACGAAAAATGCAGCGAATAATAATACAAATATTAGAACACACATAACTCGCGGAAGCTAGTCTGTTAAAAGTGTTACAAGTGACTGATATTTGAAAAAGAATAGCGCGTAATATATTGTCGCGCCATCAACACGGCAGCGAAGTCATTAAACTCGTGAGTGGCACTCAGCTGAAGCGATAAGCAATATTGCTAGCTTAAAGCAAAAAATATGTTCGTCATATTAATTTCACATTGAGCGAGTCACAATACGAAATTAATGGTGTTAAGCTTGCAACCCTGAAAGTATGCAACGTTTCGACTTCGAACGCGATAACGCCTTACATTTTGAATTGATATAGTTCTACTGCTCTTTACAGTTTATAATACAATGTAGAAAAAATTAATTGGAAAACTATATAGTAAATAATATCAAATGCTTAATTTTTTACAAGTTGAAACCAATAGTCTACTAGCTACTGTCTACATGTTATTCGCCACTTGCAATGCATTTTCTTTCGACTCAATTTTTCTCATGTTCCGATTTGCTTTATCACTTACCAGCGCGCCGTGCACAAACACTTACAAGTACTTGCCTTTACACTTCACTAGCTCAAGCCACAATCAAATGTGGCAGGCATTATTTGGCAGATAGTAAAGTATGCATTCATGCACATAACCGCATTCAAGTATACCATACATGCACTTACCGCTATATTGGAAAATAACGTGCCGAAGAGTATGAAGATGATGCGCGGCGACAGATCAATAATGCTATTGCGCGAGCAAAAGCCCCAGAATGTTGTGATTGCGAAGAGCCATAGGAAGGGGAAGAGTGGGCGCGCCGCCTCCAAAAATGGACGCATTTTGCCAGTTTTATTTTTGTATGATCTGCAAATGAAAATAGCATATGTATATGAACATCTAGAGATATGCGCTTTTTCTGCAAACATACTTTTATTACACAGTGTAGAAACGTTTGAAAAATGTCACATATGCGTATATGTTTATACTTTATACAAAAAACTTGAAATTATACAAGTACTTACAAATAAATATTTTTGATGATGATTGGATGACTGCTCACCATGGCCGAACCAATCAAGACAATCTCAAATAAGTTCGCCATACTGAGGTTTAAGAAGGGACGCGCATGCCAAATTTCCGGGCCGACAAGTGTGGTGAAGAATAGCATCAAACTGACGCCCTGTCAAATTAATTTAGAGAAAATTTACATTTTATTTACAGTAAATACTTTTGAGCACTTTTTGCTGGTACTTTACGTAGTGCTAATGGTCTATGCAAAAAAAAAAATCACAACAAAACAGAATAACATTGTACACAAAGTGTCGCCTTGGCAACGGGTGAACAAAAAATTTTATATTTTTTGTAACGTTTTCTGTGCTGACAAATAATTCATTAAATATTGCATACTGTTTACGCAGAACCAAAGACCGACCGTCCAACTTTTAAGTTCCAAGCCATATTTCATTTGTAAAAGACCAACGTGGACTACGCCAATGGAATATGGCTTGGGTTTAAATAAAAAAAATAAGAACTTTTCTCCTTCGCAGTTTATTAAACGCTCATAGCAGTCAACGCTACGCTGCTGCTACACCATACACATAAAGCAGTTTTTCTTATTTGGTAAGCTTACCCACATCGTGCAGTCGTAGCCCCATGGCAGGAACATCACGCCGGTGTTGTACTTTTCGACGTGTGTCAAATAAAAATTAAGAAAAACATTCCATATAACGAAAAACATATGAATCGGCGGCAAATCGTTGGTGCCAAACAACGAAAACATATAAATAGGTATCAGCACAGCGGAGTAAGAGTCCAAGCCGTGGTCGAAGAGCTCGCCCAGCGGACCACTGGTGCCAGTGCGCCGTGCCTGCTTGCCATCCATGCCATCTGCGGTTAAAGTAGAGGCGCAAAGTAGAGGTAAAATGCATATTAAACGTATACAAGGTGGTCGGCGCTAAAAAGTATGCAACAAAATTTTGCACACACACGATAGCGCTCAATATGAAACTTTTCGCCATTGCCAAATTATCGGACACATTTAACTGAGTCATATGCAAACAACATGAGTTACAGTGATGAGAAATTGAGTGGTTCCTACGTATAAGTAACGTACGAATGCTCGTTATTGTAGAATGTGAATTATCGACACAATTCGTTTTAATTTATTTTTCAAGAAACAAAAGTAAAAATTTTGAAAAATTTAAAGCAAAAAAAATGTGATAAACAGCAATATATTGTATATTACAAAAAACCATAAAATTTGGCAATCGCGAGCAAGTATGCATTCTCTAGCATTCGCTAGCACACCGACCAACAGTGCTGCGAAACTCACCTAAATTGTAGTAAAGTAAAATATTAATGGCTGCCACTGACCAAACCCAGCGCGGCACCGTGTGCACACCGTGGTTGGCGCCCTGAAAGTCCCAATCGTAATATGCAATTAAAATGAAATTGACCACGGTCAACAGGAAGCCGGTGAATGTGATGAGGTTCGGTGCTAGCCATTTCGGTAGGAACTGCAATAAAACATTTGCCATTTACATACATACATACATACATACACGATTATGTTTCGGTTATGTTATGTGTTCGTGTGCTTATGTTGTGAGTGTCTGTGTGCCAGCGCTGGCATTTTGTTGAAACAAATCTCGTAAAAATCCATGTTTGCTTATGCAAGGGACAGCAAAGCTTCAACTGTGGCCAAAGCAGCCCGCCCGAAATGTGGATTTCAGTTTGGGAATTGATGCAGTAGTTTGTTTTTAGTTTTAGACGCTGTGGCCGGTAAAAATAAGGGATTCCAAATAGTACCCACTCATGTACACACCAGCACACACACACACACACACACATAGACAACACAGCTTATTAAACTTTCATATGCGCTTGCACCGCATATAAACACTATACAAACTGTTGAACACAAAAATTGCTGCGATCAAAGGCTATTCCGACTCACTCCAGTGTACTTCGCGTGAAACTCACCTGAACACACCAGTTCCAGAAAGGATGCATGATATAGACGCTGATGTAGCCGGTGTCGATGCTGTTGTACTGAAAGTACACGAAAACAAAAACACATAAAGATACATGAAACAGTAGGGAAGAGGTGCGAGATGGGCAGGAAGTCATTAAAATTGCTGAAATAATTATAAATCGAAATGGTAAAGGCACATTGTAGTTGTATTTTCATGAATAGTGCCAGCTGAAACCGCGACTTTCAATTAATTTTTAAATAAATCCCTGCAGTACTTTGTGCGTGCTACATTATTGACTAGTGGCAGTAATTGAATTTTTTGTTAGCGTTTGTGAGAGCGTACTTGAGGCTGGATTGATGGCAAGTCGAAGCGAACGTATGTAGCTACACATTTTCGTTTCTTTGAACACTGTCGGCAGCACAACAGATCTATCCGGCTTACTAGCAATGGAGAACTGGAGATGGAAGTAAACAAGTGAAAAAAGGTTGAATTAATAACTGCAGTCTGTGTGCTTTGTATGAAAAATATTTTATGGTGTGTTCAAAGAAATTTTTGGTAGCGCAAACAAAGTCAGTAGCCGTCTAACGATGCGGTCCGATAAGTACTTGGCCCACAAGGCAAAAAATGAAATGAAAAATTTTGGAAAAAATTGCGATTTATTTATCGATATAGTTTCAATTTGGCACAACACTATTGTAATTTCTAGAACAGGGTGTTCTAGAGGTCTGCAAAGTGGGCTTCCGTGGTGGTGGCTACCTTTTTCACGTTTGGAAAAAGAGTTTAAGTCAAGGATGGGAGAAGCTCGTACCTAATTTGACCATTTTGGCGAAGATATGAGCGGGTTCCTGGTCCTGGTGAGAGAGCACTTTTGTCACCGCAAATAAATCAGACCCCTTTTTTTCTGTCGACATCGAATCGGCGGAATTATTCGACACAATAGAGTCTCAGAAACTATGCTCATTTATTTTTCACACGCGAGCGAAATTTTCGCAGTATCCATCTAGAAGAATGTACTACACAATAATAATTTGCTCTTGCGATTGCGGCGCCCCTTACTTATCAGACCGCCCTCGTACGTTCGAAATAATGTTGTATACACTATTCTGAACTCAACAATTATTTCAGCTGTCAATTTTTTCTGCAGTTAGCATTAGTGGGCATTGAAAAACTACTCAAATCTGGCTACATACAAGTATTTCGAAGTATTTAGTCTAATCTTGGCTAAACAATTGCCAACTTTCAATGTCTGAATTATTTAGTTATTAAAATAAATTAAAGTGCAGATGACATTAAAGCTTACAGCGAACACAGCTTTTAAAAGCTGTGCCACTCAGTCTAATTGTTTCTGGTATTCCTAACTAATTGTATTAGAATTAAGCTTGGCACATACTACTACATAAATGATTATAACCATTGCTGTAATAAATTAATGCATTAAATATGTTAATTAGTAAACAAGTGCATATGTGTATGTGTGTGTATATGTATTTATTAGGAGCATATGCCAAGCGAGCAGCCCAAGCTCTCTTTGCCACTGCTAATGAGCGCAAAAAATATATTTGCGGTGATTAAATCATTCTGCAGCATGCACTTCATCAAATAGGGCACACAATGTTGCAAATACACAAATAAACTGGTTTAAGCGGTGGCAAGAATCAACAGTCGGTGTTGCAAAAACAAAATCAACAGAAAATGTTATTGATTTTAACTGCACTAAATCTATAAAAAAATATATATATCCCTTTTCATCAAATATATAGTAAATATTTCTTTATTTATAACAATGTTGTTACAGTCGATGGAAAATATAACGAACACTGAAACGTGTTGTTGTGCATTTAACATGCACAAAAAAAGTTGGAGTGGGGGGAGGGGGCATATGGCTTTCGCTAATAAACGCCCACTGTGCGTCGCTTAAAATCGATTATTTTACTATTCAATATTTGTTCTGTTCGATTGTACACGAACATTTCAAACTGAGAGTCACTCAAGGTATTGTTGAAACAAATTGGCGCATACTCACATACTCGAAAACGGAATTTTATATATTGGAGTATGCACACCTACATAAGTGGGTGCCATACTTATGCAATCCTTTCATTTCGTAAAAAAAGATTAAACAAGTTATGACTTGGCTATGGTTGCCGTCAGAGTTTTTCAAATCTGAAAGCACGCTCACATCCACGATAGGAAAAGCGCTTTCGTGCAAGGAAAATGTCTTTGGAAAATGTCGTGGCATAATTAGAGCTTAACTGATATGATTTCATATACTAACCTTTTAAAATCTACTTTATAAATGTGCCTAACTCACTAGAGATAAGGAAATGTGTTTTGTAAAGCTTTTAAATGGTCAATTTCGGTATCATTATTGGTTAAGTTGTTAGTTAATTACTCAGTTGCACTAATTTTACTAAACTGAGTTAGCTTAATTTTAAAGCAACAGTTGACGTTGTCGTACCCATAGTTCAATCTTTTAAATGTTCTTCGTATTCATAACACCAGTTTTTCAAAGAGCTAAAATTAAAATTTCTAAGCAGAACTTTGTATAAAAAACATGCTCACACTCGGCAGCAAGCGTGAGTTTGGAAGTGTTGCTTGTGACACCCATTGTGCAAGTGTGTATACACATACACACATGCATATAAGTATTCAACTTATGTTTGTGTGTGGTCAATGACTTTTGCCAGCGAACGGAGGAGCAAATTGTCGATAAGCGCTCTGAAGCGTGCACAAGCAGCCGTCAAACAGCAGCGCTATCACTTTGACATGCTGTAAATTCTATTTTTGTCATTCACACTCATATTTATATTCATTGTAAATCCAATGCAACAAAGGCTGAGTGCGTTCAAGCCAGCCGCGAGAAAAATGTAATCAACTAATACATATACATATGTGTATTTATAAGTGTAGTAAATAGTGTTATGAGGAAATCTACATACATTATTTCGCAGTTTACGATTTTTACAAGCACTTTAAAGCGCTATTTATACGCTCGCTAATCCACTCATCCATCAGCCTTTGACGTTTTGATGCGACTAATTTGCTTGTTGTACTTTCATTCATGCAAATTCACCAAGCATCAATTTAAATTTAATTGTCAATTGTTGTAAACATGCATTGCGCTCAGAAATATTATATATGTATGTATATATGCAGTGGCATAAATATTTTTTCGTGTGCGCCTGACCGCTGCATTTACTCATGTTTACAGACAATATTTTCTGACTGCAGACGTAAATAGCAAGCCTTATTTATTTATAATAATTACAAATATTTATATTAGTTAGATGCGGTGTCAAGTATAGCTTGTAGAATGGTATAGGTGGATTGTGCAGTATACTATTTAAAAAACTTTAATGGTAACAGTGTGAAAATTAAAACACGGCGTATGAGTAATTTTGACCTAAAACCTTTCCCGACAGTTTTCTAAACAACATTGAGCGGAAAACGAAAAAGTATATCCTGTTTTTCAAAAATTAATGTTTTATTTAGAATGTTTCTACGCTGCCCGAAGTACCTGTGTTAATACTTCAAAATTGTGTTTTAATAATAGCGATCACGCGTAGAATATTGGACGGAAAATTAATCAGAGATTTCTTGTGTTAAAAAAAAAAAAATTTCTTAAATACAAAATATTATTTTTTATTCAATTTATATTTATATTTAGTACCACAAGTTAATTTAAAATAAAAAAAAAATAATTTTAATCGATGTATGTTGGCAATAATAAATTCAGTGGCGTGATTGCAAATTAAATAGAACATTGATAATTGATAATTGTTTATTTACTGCGTTGATGTGTCTTTATTTATGTCTATAAATTTTATAGTTTATTCTTGGTTTTTCTTTATACAATAAAAATGACAAATATTTAATGCAGTAAAATAATGCAGTAAATACTGTTATATGAGTGCATAAGCAACTGCGATGCTTTAACAATGAAGTGCACTGGCGATTAATCAATTTATATATACGAGTATGTACATAGCAGCAAATGCATACAAACTTAACTTAGATTTGTGAGAATCGCTGATATTTACAATTGCTTGACCCATATCTTAACAATTAACACATATATGACGTTGTTCAACAAAATCAGTGCGCGAAATGAAAATCATAAAGCTCAATTATTGAATCTGTTGTAATCAACTAACTCGATTTTCAAAAGTGTGTTACAAAATGATACGATTTATTATTAAAATAATGGCGCTTATGTAATATTAATATTGATTAAACTTACCTTATATCGATCGAAGCCCTTTAAATGGGACTCTGTTAAATATTTAATGCCAAACATGTTTGTTGCTTTTTATGGTTATCAACTTATTGTATTCAATGTAGAGAGTTGCTTTGGGCTTTAACAGTTTTTGTTGCTTTCTGCTATTTTATAAATTACACTCACTTAGGTTGTTTTTATGCTACTGGTACTTTAGCGGCGCAAAAGTGCTTGGCATTTTCCCTTTAACACACTGTAACTTAAAACAGAAACAAAAAAAAACGTTTAAAGATTGAAATTTCAAACGAGGCATTTAATATTTTTTTATTATTTTATCTATTTTTGCTGTATTATGAGGTTTTTGCGTTATTGCGCAATGAATTTGCAATGAGCGCTGGGAATTCGCTCCTGGAATTGCACCAACACTGCAGAATTTACACTTTAAACTTAAAAGGCTGGTTTTTAACCTCACATACGCGCACCTTTCATGCAGAACTATTTGCATACATACAAACGTACAAATATATATTTACATGCGCAGGCTTTTTATTGCTTCGTGCATTTTTTTAGTTTTCGCACTTTCTGTCTTACTTTTTGTCATTGCCGCCGTTTTTTTTATTGCTGGCGCGGCGCTACGTGTGCCGTTAATGCCGCTGCATTTATTGCCACTTTCAAACTCAAATAAAAAATATTTAATTTCATGGCCTGCGCCAACGGGAAAAGTGGTTAGCGTATGCAACAACTTTGTGACAGCAACAGTCGCCCGCTGGCGCTGCAGAGAGTAGTGAATTTCATTCAATAAACGAATGTGACGTGATAAGATCACTCGAGCGTATTGATCATTTTACGCACATACACACACATGCACATCTGTTGAGGAAGCGTTGAAAGAAACCGGAATCATACATCTCTTGCGTAAGTGATTCTTTACGATTCTACGACTTTATTTAATTGCCAATTGTTTTTTTCCATGCGAGCATGTAAAAGCAATAAAGCGCCCAACTCGCAGCCTACAACGTGAACCAGCTTCAACAGGAACACATACATATATACAAGTATGTGTGTGTAGTTGCATGACATTGTAGCTCCGGCGGTAGATAAGGTAAACTTCCGCCCATGTCAACAATATGGTACATTTGTGCGTGCACTCATATATACCCAGCAGGAAAATCAACTAGTTACACCTCACAACTAGTACGAAACACATACCGAACCAGTCAGCCGACTGTCTTTTTCCATACAACTAGCTGGTGCGCTTCGCATATCACTGGTCCTACTAGTTGTCATTTCTGGGGTTTTGCTCTGAATTACACCCAACTTACAGAAGTATAATTTTAAATATCTCAGAAAAACCAGTTACAATTTTCAATTCCAAATTTATATTCGTCAGTCTTTAATATTAGACTGATTATACTAGTAACTAGTATTTTTCCTGTCTAATATGACAATTCACTGCTGGGTAAGGGCACTAAGTACACCTGATAGGCAGTTGAGGCGTTCGAGACAGCAGACATTCAACTATTGTGGCATATTGCTAAGATTAGTATACCTTTTGCTACTGTTTATTTCAAGTTCTGCAGTATATTTATTATCTTTAACTGTTTTAGCCGCGGTAACCAAAACAGCTATATGTAAAGCTACATAGATACGCCTTTGCAGTGTACTATAAAATAAGATCTTTATCGCGCTTGAGTTTGGGGTTACGTGTACTTTGTGCTATTTACGACTAATGATGTACTTGTGTATGTTATAACGGCGTTATGTGGTATAATTAACAAGTAACCGCTAGTATGACTGTAGTTAACTGTGGAATGGCATACAAGTGCTTTATGGCGCTAGCATACTAAAACGATTTACGACTAACTAAGCACCCGTGAACCCGTACATATATCTTCTTCTAATTTTCGTTTAAATACGTTCGGTTTTAGTTAAGCTTTTATCTTAATGCTGACCGTTTGGCGCAGATGCAGTTATATGCTATTTCTAACTATAATACTTGAAGATTAGATATGTTCACCTTTGATACTTGCTTAGAGTGTGTTTAACAGAAAAAATACATGCGTTTGTGACGTCATGTATGAGGGGAAAGTTTGACAGTTCGTTTCGTTTATGATTTGTCAGTTGCCATTCTTGTTAGTTGAATTTAAAAAGTTATTTTTGAATCAGCAATAGCCATATATATTATACCATATATATACATATATATGTACATTTATATATAGTCATGCGAGTTTTTCACGGCGATCTTGCTTACGCAAAAACCTCCAATTGAGTTTCTGCCGCGTAAAATCTTCACATACACCCCATCAGCTGTCGCAAAGCATCAGTGATTTGTATATGTGTCGGAACGAACGCGGACGAACAGTTAATTTTGATTTATGCACATATTTGTTAGCCTCGTTTGCCAAGTGCAGTCTGCAACAAATGCAAGTGTGTCGAACTTTTTGTCTGCCACCACTGTGCTTCTACTAATTCGCTTGAGTGAAGCGGCAAACGCGCTGTCACCAATAAGAACGAGCACAGTAGCAACACCAACAAGAGTATCAGCTGAGCATTGCACATGATGCACTCACAAGTGAATATCAATTTATGCGGATAATTATGTTGGCTTTATTTATTACTGTAAGGCATTACAGCAGAATGTGTACGAGTGTATTTACGTACTTATACCTAAGATTTATGTTTATAGCTCTGCATAAAGGTCATATACAATCAACTTTTGTGAGTCAAGCACCAGCGAACGAGTTTGTGAAGCAAATGATTCACATTTGCAAGCGCATATGCAATTTTAAAAGGTCTCGTTTAATTTTATTTCTCAAAAATGATGTAAATTTGCTTTTCACTTTCATTTTCAACCACAACTTCACAACAACAACGCGCTAATTTCGTTTAATTGACAAAGCATATATTATATTACATGATTTCGCTCTCGTTTATGTTCGTATGGCTGTGCAAGAGATGCCGCTCTTGAAGTTCAGTTTACCGGTGTATTGCCTGCTTTCTTTTCGGCTTCACCCGGCAAATGTCGGACAAAGAATAAGGCGACCGGTTATACAATACGAAAATACAAAGTTACGAATATGACACGCAATAGAACGACGCGACGCGCAAAAGAAAGACTGAATACGTGGTATCAGGTAGGAAAGGACGACAGTCATTCCATACGACGCGCACACATCCACACGCACTGATTACTGGCACGGAAAGTAGACGTCTGTCGACTACTGCTGCAGATCGACATTAACGGCTCGCGGCTTTGTTCAAGACTAACTGGCAATCGTCAGAAGAGCACAAAAGCAATGGCAAAATGAGAAACAAACTCAGAAGCCGCAATAAATGAGCTACGACACTGGGACACGATTATTCCTTCACACGTGTGTTTGTTTGTATGTATGTGAACTATAGGTTATGCTCGTATGAATATACGAACTTTCGACTGACTGTCTCGAAGTGAAAAACCCAATCGTACTCAGTCCATGCGGCCTTCAAGTCACTGCTTTGCCTTTAATGTCGCCAACAATAACAATAGCTTCTTTTGCGCGGGCAGTCTTCTGCCTTTACTGTAATTTAGCGCTCGTTCGTTTTTTGTATGTGTGTATATGTGTGTTGTCAAATGTATAGTAGCTATATATATATAGCTGATCTGCTGCTTTTTAAACACATGCTCACATTATTATTACCCATTATTGCTACTATTATTGCTATTAATTTAAGTGCTTACATATCGGCACATACATACATACATATTCTGAGCACGCCGGTTGCAGTCACGCTATAATTTGCTCCACTGCTAGCGCTACAGCCCTCTCTTGACCGCTGTCGCTTTTAAAAAACCATATTTTTTTCATTCTTGCTCGAACAAATTTAATTTTGTCGCATGGTTTTCTATGTTTCAGGGTTGTTGTTACTACTTAGGGGCGGCATTTTACTCTGCTATGGTATGTGAGCGGTAGCTGAACACAACCTTACATGTATGTATGTACACAATACGAGAGTGTTATCAATGAATTTGCTCCACTGCTTGTATTTAGCGTACATAAACAATATATTTAGACATACATATGTACATTTAGACAGCGTTCAGATACAGCAGTTTTATTTGGAGCACTTCAAGTTTAGAGACCGACGAAAAGAGCAGCAACATCTCGCTCATTTCAGTTCTCGACGGAAATTTTGTCATTATTGTTGATGCAATTTAAGGACGCACGTAAGGTGAAATTTTGAAATAATCTATATTTTTCCATATTTCAATAGTTTATACCTTTAAAACTTACATATTAAAATTTCAAATCGATAACTCAAATAGTTTTAGAGTTACAGCCATTTAAAAGTTTGCCGCCCAGTTCAATCAGCTCCACCAGCTTAGCTTTAAACGCATTTTTCGAATTTGCTGAAGTGATAACTCGAAAACAAATTATTCGACCATCATGTAATTTTTTTCTTGCATATAACAGGGCTACTAACCGGTTTTCGAAACCAACCGCCTCTTTTTACTGGCCTTGAACCGAACCACGAACCGCTTTTATTTTAAAATACGAAAACCGAACCGAAAACGATTCAAAAAGTGGTACGAAAACATACAGCAAATTTGGCGGGAGGCATACAAAGAAAGCACGGTGAAGTTTCAGAGAAGATCGTTAGCGGAATTTCGAAGAAGAAATTCCAGAAGCAAGAAGGCTTTTATTTTCATACATACATATGTATATACCTATGAGATTTGTCATATTAATTAGTATTAAAAACTGAACCATTTGAACCGAACCGAACCGCGGTTCAGAGAAACCGGTAAGTATTTTCTGAGTGGTTCGAACCACTAAACCGAACTGTAACGATTTTTGTAGCGGTTTGCGGCCCTGGTATATAATACCTATCGGGTTTTTAGATCTACAGTACAAAAACGACCAAAATTTGGGGTCAAATTAAATTTCTTTTTTTTAAGCGCCGCCATTTTTTCAATTTCTAATTTTTATTTTTTTTTAATGGATTTGTTTTGCACGGAGAATATCTACTAGTTTAAGATAAATTTTTATTTTTTAAGGTACATCCACGGAGAAGGCCGGGATCACTGCAGTATATATTTTTTTTAATTCCTAAAAACCGCATTTTTTTAGGCTGTCACACTAAGTGAGCAAAAAAAGATTTGATTACCATATATACAATATATACAATATTGATAAAATGTTATATAAAATACTGATATTCATATTCGAGTTGACCGATGCGAATAGCTGTCTCTGAACACGTTGAGCAACCTCGAAGAGGAAATTGCTGATAATGAGCAACAAGAGTTTTCGTGCCTGTCACAATCATATGATAATTTATATTTGCATTTACTTTAATGTAAAATGCTGCCAGTCAGAGGTTATCAAGCTAAGGATGCTGCAATAAAAACAAATAAATGCGCGCTTTACAAGAAAAAGCTATAATTTACATACATTTATAGCTCATTATGTGCGTAAGTATATATAGGTATGCATATGTATATATATTCTTCTTATAGGTAGCATCATTTTTTGTACGCTACGTCTCAGCTGTTCGGTATAATAAATTTTTGGTTTGCGTTTAACTTTCACTCTACCTCTCAGTAGAAAATGATCTTCAAAGAGCGGATATATACTTATGACATATCTATATAATATTTATACGCCTAATTGACATCTTTAATATTTTCTTAAATGTAGTCGAACATCCGGCTTTAGCGCATGGACCAGTTGCGTAGCATTATAGACTAGTTCCAATGTATGCATTTCACTAGATGTTTATTTTTCCATGCTGCGAGCTATAATTGACGTTATTACACTTGTGTTTTCTTTAGTCGACCTCACCTTCAAACTGTTTATAGGCAGCTCGTTATGCGATCAATCATCTATTTAATTGGATTCCATAATGTAGTTGAGGATTTTACGTTATAAAGTGATCTTTTAAGATAATGCACTAAAGTTTCAACTAAGTGTGCTAATCTACTAGATAAGTGATATTGTTTACATTGCAGTTATCATAATTTGTTTCAGAGTGTACCCATTGTGTTTAGGGATTTGAGGTAGTTATGTCCGTCCGTTTGTGCATTCAATAGACAGTTTGGGTAAAAAGTTACTTGTATATGATTTCTAGATGATAAACTACTTACTTGTAAATAAATTTAGTTGACAACAATAGTGGGTGAAAATATCTCCCACCGTTGTTAAAAATAGATAGACTTTGGACTTTGTGAAGCTACTCTGATTCTTATTAAGAGAATATGCGACTATATACATAGATATGTATGTGGCAACTTGCATGTGTAGATGTCTTGATTATATTTATATATTTTTTTTCATGAGTTCCGTGAGGCGTATCAGTATTTTATAAGCATATGTAATTATATAATAATTCTAAATGTTTCACGATTCAACTTCATATTTAAATAGATTTCTACAAATGCACACAGATAATATGACAGTTAATTGACACTGGAAGTCGTTATTTTTTATTCCAACCATCCATATTAGCTGAATTTCATAGATATATTATCATTACAGTAATTATTTTTTCAAAACTAATCGATGTTGCAGCCAATGAAATGAATTACGAAAATATGATTTTTCGAAAAATAGTTGCTTCATTACAATATATTTATTTGTTTTCGTATAAAATTACTTGAATTTCTTTAGCGCTTGTTGTTTGGAAGCAAAGAATTTGAATTATAAGTTTAACTATTTAAATACCACCAACAAACACAAATTATTCAAGCACTTAGCAGCGCCATTTACCGTTTCTTTTGTTGATTCCGCCGTGTCGTCATGGTTTTTGCGCAACAATCCTTGCAGCTGAACATCCACGCTGCTTGAGCAAAATGTCCTCGAGCAACTGCTCAGGCGCACACCATTCACCAAGAATAGACTGAAAGAAGCAAACAAACGATAACAACAAAGCAAACGAGAAACGAAATTCAAAACATTCACGTTGAAAAGCCGCATCGGCTCCGTTGCGTACCGTGGGGCATTGAATGTGACAAAAGTGCCATCGGTGCAGACGACGCGGGCAAAGCAGACGAATGCATCGTTAAAAATCATTTATCACTTCCTGAGAATTCATGCGCGCCCATCGTTCACCGCAGCCACCATCATCGACGCCAGCACACAGATGAATCACCCGCACTCGCACACCCACACGCACATACACACACACACATCCTCAGAAAAACACGTAAGTGCGCTTGAGGCGTCGCAAGCAGGTGTTTGTGTTGGCCGCAATCGGCGGTGCAGCGTGCGGCAAGCGCTCCGTGGCAAAACGTTGCAGCACTAAATCAAAGCCGGCAGACACAAGTACACTTTTTCCAATGCTTGCATTGCTGTGAGGCAGGGCGAGTTCGCGAATGGAGCAAATCTTGCAGAACGAGAAAACGGAGTAGCCGGGCGCAAAAACGGTTGAAGCACGTAAACAAATGTGTTTGAAAGTGTGGCAGGACGGACGACTGGCGTGAACGACTATTTTACGGCGCGCATTCAAATAAGTATTAAAAAAACGGTTATAAACTTTAAGGCCGTTACAAGTTGAATAACCATTTCTTTTTGTATTTGTAACGGCAATTATCTAATTTGACAAATACAGTAACTGCATATTTGTTTATTAGGAAGGCAGATGTGGCGCAACAACTAGCAAAGGTTTGGTAAAATAGAATTGGCGTTGTCCATATTTGGAAAAATCATACACCCTAGGAAGACTTGATAAATCTCAGCGAAAACCCTGTTCAACTATACATATTTTTTGGAACACATAATTTTTTAGTAAAACTTTTAATCTCATCTCACTGTGTCAACTTTTTTGTGCGATTACCGTTACATGCAAACATACAAATACATTATTATGACCAATTCGCAAAAACTTATTTTCCTCCGGGGCTAAACCCAACAACAAAGTATGGTGTGAAATTTAAACCGAGTCAATTTATGGTGTCGGATAAGAGCAAACTCAATGAGATTTATGGCAAAAATATCAGGGTGTGCGCCGAATGGTGTAAAATTGCTGATTTATTACGCACACTAGAAGAACGTGGGAATTTTAATTCACGTAGTTAGGTGCTGCTATACATATGGTGGGTTGGCCAATAAAAGCCATAATGAATGAGAATTCAAGCAGATGCTCTGAAGACCGTCTTATTGTTGAGCTTTCTACATCGGCGTTACTACGTAACCTCTTACAATTCGCATAACGTTCATAAAGAACTTTAGTATTCGAAAAATTTTAATAGTTAATAGATCGGTTAAGCGACCAAGCGCCAAAGCGTTTAATATTTTCTATATTACTAAATTTTGAAAAAATATAAAGCTATATGTAACTATAAAACGAGGCTTTTAGTTTTTATCAATTAAATATGTAGGCAAATTCAGTTCGAAACTAGTTAACGATTCTGGTGGTTTCCGTTGCCGTTAATCCCTCAGCACGCAGTCGTTGCAACATAGGTCGATAAATATCGGGCGTGAAG